GAAATTATAAAATAAATTGCAGGAGGAAAGGATGAAAAATTGAAACTATGTGACATGTAGTTGAAAATGAATGATTTTGAATGAGTAGAAAGGAATGGAATATGAAGGGAAGCACTGGATGAGAAGCAATGGTGATTGATAAATTAGTTAGGACAGATGGAATTGATCAAGTTCGTTGAAGTATGAAATGAGAAGAGGTACTTATAATACAGGTCGTGCCGGTTTGGTCGCCAAAACATCGTCGGCTGATCGTCAAGTTGTCGTGTGCTGTCCCCCAACAATGCCAATCAAATGCCCAGCCAAGCAAACTTGTTTCAGCATATAACACTTCCACTGTCTGTTTCAACATCATCAATTATATAATATATTTGAAACAACATCAACTGCTATTCTCAATATGCACCACTTGTAGTTAGTTATTTGTCCAACTGATAAGCTTGGTATTATTAAACTCACTTATCAGTTCATTTTTCTTATCAAATAATTGATATTTAACAGTATCGAGATAGCGTGAAATTAAATCGGCTAAAACAGTGCTTAAGAGGAGAGAAATTGAAGCAATTAATAAAAAATTTATCAAATGATAAGTTGATCGAAGTGAAAAATGAAATTTCTTTCTTTCTCCCTCCCCCAATGAAATTTAGAAGTTTAGACTTATAATTATTGAGAAAACAATTTAAATTAATAATTTTAAATTTATAAAAATAGAAACGCTTTGTCAGCTCAATGTTTAGATATTGTTTCGTTTGGAGATTTACGGAAAAAATTAGAGGCAATAAGTGCAATTGACCAATCCTGAAATTGAAATGTATCCTGGGTATAGCTCCTTTCAAAAGAAATGGTATGGTCACTAAAATCGATTGAAATGAACTTGATTGACATTTTTGTTTGTAAGTAGTAAACTGGCAAAAAATTACAGCAATAGGCAATATGCTCAGAAATGGTTAATGTGCTCCAAAAAGGTCATTGGCTACTTTTCCCACTGTCCCTTAATTTTTCCATTTCCTGTTCTGTCTTCGGGGAACAGATTGAATCCATAAATATTTCCATTAAGATTTTTATCAACTGACCACTTTAAGGCACTACAAATTTTTATTACTTTTTCTTTCCATCTGTAGCCGAATCTCATACCATCCAAAAACTTCAAATAATAGCTTGCGGCTTTTACAACAAAAAGATTTCTTTCCTTTATGTGTCGTCCATCCTATATATCGCCTTCTTATTATATTTGGGTAATAATTAGCACCTTTTCGCCTTACTTATGTATTTCCTTCCATCTATCAACAACGATGATTCAATAAAAAGCAATAATTTTGAACAAATTAATTTACAATCGCAAAAGTTAATTTTTATATCATTTTTTAAAGAAAAAAAAGATGCGCAAAAAAGCCTATATTTGGTATGTACCACCTGCTGCTACCTTAACGTCTATCAGACGTTAATTAGTGATCTTCCATATTGCAAAAAAAATGTTTATTTCTTGATCTTTTTAACTTCAAAGTAACCTTCCTGTTTAGTCTATGACCAGGTGGCATATATGCTGGACAATTATGGTCGCTATCATCATCATGGTCACTTCAAACATATAAAATTTTGCTAACTGAAGATAGAATTTGACTAATTATAAGAATCTTCCATTATTGTTCCATTCCTAAATCCACTTCAAATGTTTTATCCATAAATGAGGAAAAATGCAATTGTGAGTAGGGACTTGAAATAATACCTTTACATAAAACATTTATAACTAATGGAACATTACTGTTATCTCTCAGGCTTATCAAAAGTGATTTTAAATATTTCATAATATCACTCATAGAGGAATATTTTTAATTTTTTTGATAAAATATAAATAGAACATAGCTTTATCAAATCGCTTCTGATTAATGATAACAAAAATTCCAAAATATATTTCTTTTAATATTAATTACTTCCGAACTCAAAGCAAATTGTAACGAAGAAAATGACAAAATTATTTTCCTCGTAATTACCACAATTTTTCTCCAAATATCTAATGATGAAACTAAATAATAAGCTTTAATTGAAATGAAATTCACTTTACAATTATTATTAACTAATACAATATCAATGAAAAATTTGTTTACATTTTATTTTCTATCACAAATAAAATTTAATTTCCAATTCTTTCTACATTATGATTACATTTATAATTGACAATTTACTTGGGAAGGAAATAAGATTTTCCCTAATTATTGGTTTGCAAATCTTTCTGCATTATGGTCATATTTTTTAATTGATATCTTATCAAGCAAATTGAGTTCGATATATTACAATATCACTCAGATATCAATCATCAACATAATTGATCTAAAGATAAAAAAGATTTTTTGTTATTAGAAATCGAAAATGATTGGCAGGAAGGAAAATAATGAGCTACAAAATGACAATCAACTACCACACAATACGATGGTACCACCGAAAGAACTATCAGAAGTAGTTGATATATTTCTGCTTATCTTTAAGATTGTCATTTCATATATGTCCGTTTTTCTTCTACCATTTGTTTATCCCTTTGTCCAGCTGTCACTGATATTCTCTAGTAAAGCTCAATTAATTCGGTTAGTTATTTTATGACAGTAATAAAAAAAGTGAACATTTATATGTTTCATATGATAAAACACTATCAGTGATAATTTACTAAAATTTTTTAATTTAATTAAAAAAAATAATTACAGGAAAACGAATTAAAACATAAATGAAAATAAAAAATGTTTGGCATATCTTTTCAACAATCGTTGATTTAGCAAAGATTTTTATTTGTATATCGGTTGGTTTCAAATATTTGAATTTTAGCCGAATGAGCATTAAACCTTAAATGATATGCAATGATGCGCTCTTTATTATTATGTCTTAAAATATTTAACTATTTCGACATATTTGGAAATATTTAATGAGATGTCCTAGTTTTGTCAAATGGGACGTGAATAATTAATATTGAAAATAATGGCAGCACATAAAAGAAATGATCATCCGTTGAAAAAAAAATTTCACAAAACTTTTCAAAATTGTTGACTTCCGCTTCTTTCTCGTATCTCAGCCTCCCACTTGCCTTAAAAAATTCCGATCTTTAAATGTCAAAAGCAATAAAAATAGATCAAAGAAATGGATGAAATGATAAAATTTTTTATATTTTCAAATTAGAATTTGTAAACTTAATTTGCAATGATCAGAAGTGATCTAATCATTAATGATACTATGATAATACGAAATGATAAACATTTTATTGAGATTCCGTCTTGTCCGTTTTCTTTCATCAGTAAATGGGTATTGGCAATAAATGATATCTTAAAAACTTTAACAGTTGTTGAATTTGAATTCTCGTTGAAAATAAATTCTAGTGTAGCACAAAAAGATTAGAATTTATCAGTTGCAAGATTGAAAGAATCAAGCGCAAATTGCTATACTAAATTCTATCTGCAAAATTTAAAGAATAGAATTTTTATCCTTACTATTTAGGCTTTTTTCGGCATAATCGGATAAGGTTGAAATTAAATTTTATTCTAATTTTTATCAATCAGTTCTTTTGCACTTTATTAAAGCGTCTCCATCACTGTTTGATTTCATTGGGATATGAAGTTGATAATGAAAGGATAAAATATGATAAGATCTTAAAACACTGCAATTGATGTCACAAATTGAACTCTCTCATGGTGTAACTGACTGCCATCAGAAACTTCACTCACATAAAGGCGCGTCAACTCAGGCGACTATTCGGCCTATATTGAAAATCGCCTATTTATTCGCAAATAGTTTCTCTCATTTAATATACATTAATTCTTTCAACAAGAAAAAAATGATTCTTGAAATAATGTACAAAAGTTGTGGTTAGACAAAGGTAACATTCTGAAGTAGCATTCGTCGGTCTTTCACAAAAATTAAAATTAAGGGATGCAGAAGATTCAGGATCAGAAAAATAATCGGAATCTCAACTCTTTCAGTTTCTTCATCCTTTAATTTTAGCAGCTACGAAAACCATTGCTGGGTTTCATAAGTTTGCCTCATAAAGGCTTATTTACCTTGTCCCAATGAAAATCAACCTTATTAACCTATTGTTTGTGATAAACGGTGTATTTATTACTTGTTTAATACATTTATTTCGGATAAAAGCTCATCTATAGCTGAAATATATGACAGGCTGACACAAATACAACAGATGGTTGAAAGTTATTTAAAAAAATTAATTACTTGATTACGAGTTTTTCGGTATATAACAGCGACTAATTGAAGTGTAGCGGAAAAAGAACGGAATTTCGATAAGAAGAAGAAAAGAGAATAGATGAGAGAACCACTGAATTAACGATAATAAACTTTTTAATTGGGAAGTTTGTAATCGAATTTAATATTTTGATACGATACCCTTTATTTGAAAATGAAAAATGAATTTTTACATTACTAAAATGTATATGCTTAATTGAATAATATACTTATTTCAACTTCAAATGTTACTTTTTCATTTACTTTTCTTACTGACCGATTCAACAATTTTTATTAGTAATTGTAAAGAATTAAGTGAAACTAAGCTAAATTTAACTTTGAATAAATATCATAAATAATTAAATAATTTGTGGTTGAGAAATATCATTGAAGTAAGAATTTCATTTCGCTTTATTTTTGTTAATATTTTCTTTCCCATGAAATCAATTTTTTTTGAATTACATCATTGCGCGATTATTACTGCCAAATTTTCATTAAGTTTTTTCTTTGATATTAATAAGGAAGATTTTTTATGATACCATAATTTTTAAGGTAAATTTCAACTTTCTAAGTTACTGACATCCTTTCAGCTCTGAACCTATCATAATAGCGTTTCAAGTGAATGTATAGCCTATCTGTTCTTTAAAATTATAAATTTGCATGAAATTTTATTTATAAATTTCCCGAAAACTTTTCCATTATTTCATTCTTCATTGTCTTTATCATAACAATGGAATTCCTTTTCAGAAGTTCGTTGAAATGATTAGCAATCTAAAATTTCAAATCTAATGAAAGTTTCTCTTCAAGTAAAAATTTCAGAAAAATTATGCGACAGGAGTAATTGGTATACTCCATCTTTTATCGTTGTATGTTTGATAATCGCAAATGCTACTTTGATCATTACAATTATCGTAGTTGCAATTCATCTTGCGAAAGGTATCCATATCACATATTTTCCGGAATTCTTGAAAAAGTTTTTTCATTCACCTCTTGCTTTCATTCTTCCGTTAATTTACTTATTGTTCTCTTGGTGACATAAACAAATCTGACTGATAAGGAAGTAAAGGTTTCTTTTGATGTGAAGAAATAAAGCACGAGATCGTAAAATTCCACTTTAAATTTTAGTAGAAATACTTGCCCAACTTAAGCTATCATTCTTTTCCTTTCTCCAAATAATAGATATCAAAAATTGCTAAGTCATAATTTCCAAGACCTCCTGAATTATTCATTTCCCATTTCAATCATTACTATATCTTTATGTATTTATATAAAGTAAATAGGACCAGTAATAGTAAAGTAAATATTACAGAGGTCAATTATCGATCGGAAAAAGAGTTTTTGCTTCATTTGCAAAGAGCGTACGATACGGCTATTTATTCGCTATTTGGCGTACTGATATTTTACATTATTATTAATTTCATCAGTTTGGGAATACGACTTAAAGTTATCAAGGATAGCGTTAATTATATCAGTGAACAGGTATTCTTATCTGTGCAATTTCAAAAAAACAGATCTTTTACTAAAATATTCAATGAATCGTTCAGGTCAATCAACAACGCAAAGAATGTGAGGAAACCGCGCGTAGATTCGTACGTGATACCTTCTTTGTTAAAAAATACTATGAGAATGGGCCAGCAACCTTTAAACCTGCTGAAATATTATCTGCTCAGGTAATAATCACTTATCAATTACTATTAAAACGATTGTATGATCTGGTTAAATTAATATCAGGAACAAGCTACTCTAAATTTCTTTATCTTCCACAAATGCAATTGTTAAATCTCCCCCTTTTAATAATTCGGTCAAAATGAAATGATAAATGATATGAATTGTTCAAGGAAGCCGTATCAAAATATAAGGAAATGAAAAAAGAACACAGCGTTGATAAAACAATGGAAGAAATTAGCAAACATTTAACAACGCTTAATAAAATGAAAATTGTTATGAATCAGCCAACCGAAAAGCAATTTGATTCAAAATTTATAGTAAATTTTATTTCTAACAATTGCTTTTGATGAAATCATTTTGAAAAATAAATAAACAATTGCATATGAAATGGTTTTTATTTTGTTTATTAAAGTGATTAAATTATTTACAACAAAATACTCAATTTTAGTTTATTGATAAAATAAATTTTATCAGAATAAAATTAAAGCAATATGTCGAAGGATGAAATTATCTCAGTTCATAACTTACTATACTTAACTCTAACTTTCCTAACTGTAGTAACTATGCATTCCTATAAAATTATAGTTTAAAATTTTTTATGATTAAATCGACTACAGTAATAAAATTGCGAAATGCTTAAAAAATTCCTTAAAAGATTGCTTGAAGTTGACATATAATAATTTGATAGAATTATTACAAACTCTTAGAATTATTACAAACTCTGATAGAATTATTACAAACTCTTTCAACTCTTAAATTTGATGAGTTAAAAAAATGGTAATATTAGCCGATTTCAGAAACTAATTGAAGAACAAATTGCCAGGCAAAAAGATGCAAGTAGTATAATACAGGTAAATCCTATGTGCTATAATTTTTGTTTACGATTTTTTTTAATTAAAACTATACGAATGAAGAAACGTGTGAGAGTATAGAAACAAACTATCAAATACCTTCCACTATCACATTATTTCCAGTCCGTATTAGATAGATTAGTCTTATTATAATTCTCGAATCTTCCTTGTTGCTGAAAAGTTTCATAATTAATTTCTAATCACTTTTTTCAATTTAAAATTTGATTTTGTTATCTCTCCAAGATGACAACAATGAATATTGATTATGTTATGCAAATATTGATTTTTCATATAATCATTACATATTTACGTCAAGTACACTTTAGTGGCTTGAGTTTACTACGTAAGAAATACGGTAGGAGTAATTATTTAATTATTTGTCGTTAGTTTCGTAAGAAGTTTTCTACGAAGTTTTGAAATAGGCTAAAATTATGAGATGTGCCGAACAGTTCTCTTAAGATTATCCATTCCTTAAGAAAGTTTATCACAATTTTAAATTATTTTCAGGAGAGTCAATTATCAAGAACACAAGAAGGTAATTTGCGCATAGTGCTTTAATTAGATGAATAATTTTGTTAAAAGCTCAAAATTTATGAAAGCAATCCTTCCTGAAGAAAAAGTTTAATAATTTAAGCCATTCATCAAAAAGCAATTTAAGAATGAAAGATTTGAAGGATAAATAATGAATGGTTTATCAGGTTGTTTTATTTATTAAAATTTTTCTCTTTTTAAACAATTACTTTAAAATTTAAGATTCTTTAAAAATAATTCTAAAATCCGGATTTAATGAATCGGCTTACAGAATTCAGCAGAATTTCAACAATAACCAGTGTGGGACAAAAATATAAAAGCCAATATACTAATTTGAGTATTAAAGGTCAGAAGAGCCAAATAATAGATGAGAAAACAGAGCCAAGCGCTCTAGAAACTCCAACTGGTCAAATAACTGAAACAGCATCTGAGCATAGGAAATCAGTTCTGTCACAATCGCGATTATCTCCAGAGAGTCATATATTTCAATCGCAAACTTCAAAGGTAGCCAGTAAAATCTTACGAATTTTTGAAACGGAAAAGACACAATCGTCATCACATCGCAGAAATCAGGAAAACATTCACCGAGAATCAACAGATAGTGAAAATTATGAGAAGATGAAGGTTTCGATGTCTTCCGAAATTTCCCGATCAGAGTCAGAATCTATCAGAGTAAAGACGAATGAAATGATCAATCAGCAAGAAATCGGAAGAGCAGAAAACGAAAATGATGATAAGATGATAAAATGATTAAAATGTTAAATGCCTTTGAATGAGAAATAAATTTTTGAGAATTTTTTTTGGTTGTTTATCTTCTTATCAATTTCCATTTATTAAAACATAATCAAAAATCCATTTTGTGTCATCTAACAATTGTCATTAACATCATCATATCATTAAAGAAGTGAAGCATCGTTGTAAATACTGCGATTGGTTAAGAATATTAGTTAACAGTAATTTATCAATTTAGCGGTTTATTTGTTGAAATATTTGCTGATGAAGTTTGAAAATTCGTTTGTAGGCATTTTTATGCGGCTAAGATAATTATTAATTCCAATAAGTTGAAACTATCAAAAATTATAATTTCATTTAAAACGATTTAATTTATGTCCCAAATTTTATTTATAAAATTAACTTTTTATTTGTTAATTTTTCTTAATAAAAAAATTGAACGGATTGGCGATCAGCAAAAAACGTCAGTAATTTTGAGTTATCAAGAAATTTTCTTAATAATTCAAGGATACATCGAAAATTGATAGGCACATAAAAAGTAATGATCGATCTTAAGGGAAAGATAATAAAATATAAAATTACTACAAAGTGCTAAACAATTTTATTGTCTATTAGTTCATTTAAACATTTCAAAATAAAATTTTAAATTCGAGAAAATCGATAAAAGTTCAAATAAACGTTTTTGCGAAAGAAAAAGGAAAACATAAGTTAAATATTTTCTTATTTTGCCTATATATTTCTTGAATAAAATGCAAATTTAAATGTGTGATAGGAAATTGCAATACAATGATCCAAAATAAAGAAATGATTTGAAAGCTGTAAACAGAAGAGAAGAGATTGTTTTATAAAGCAACCATTAACAAAGTTACTTTATAAAGTTGATAAGGTTGACATAGACGTATGCTTTTTGCTCATAAACTTTTGTTAAATCATTTTTGATAATACAGGTTTTAAAGTAATTTTCAGAAGAATGTCAATTTTCAAATCTGATCTTTTCTTCTTAGTGTGTCGCAGAATCATTTCGCTTTGGATTTTGTATATTTTATGAATGAAAAAGAAATTAAAATGGACTTAAACACTGATACTAAACTAAAAGTGCTTTAATTACACAGCCAACTATAAAATTCAATTTGATTAAATCGTGCAAACCATCTGTAATTAAGCTCAAAAATATGAATAGAATATCGTAAATTCCTATCATATGGATAAACTACTATTACGCCAAGCTAAAAACTCTTTAAAATTTAATAAGTAAATAAATAAGGAAAAAGAGATAAGGAATTACTATAAAATCACAAAAGCAACAATTACATTTAAAAATGGTTTCCAATTTCTCTTGAAAATTTGAGCATTAAGCATTGTACAAAAGTTTTTTCAAAATTAACAAAGAGTAGAAAGAGAAGGGAATATTTTGTATAAATATTTAACAATGTAATAAATTTTCAAATAAACACTTTAAACATTCAAAATTAATTGATCTGATAGGGCCACCTGATATGATCACATTAATAATCTAAGAATATTGCACCAATTAAAATTAATATTATCTTTTCAAAAAAATTATTTATTACCATTATTATTTAAAATTATATTATTTTGAAATCTGCACACTTTCGTAGTTTATAATTTTGTTTTGCGAATTTCAAATTTTCTATTTTTTCCCTAATTCACTCAAATTTTTTTCAATTTCTAACAACGTATTCATTACCTTTTCAAAGTTCAAAATATCATTTGAATAGAGCTAACATTGCAAATTTCTAAGGTATTTAATAATGTTAATAACATGAATATGTGACAAAAACAGACAAATGAATAATTGAGAAGTGTGGACTGTATAATGACGAACTACCGTATTCCTCTAAAAATACGCTTCAACTCCACCTCCATTTTTGTTAATATTCAAACATGAAACCTGTCTCATAAATCTAGTTCAGATATTATTGATTAAAGTTCCAAAAAAGAATAAAAGTCAGGAGACTCTTACATGAGCTATCTCTAAATATTCATGTAACCTGATTATTGAATCCGGACAATTTTAGCAATCAGTAATCAGCGATCGCTGTTGTTCTGATTAAATGTAGCATAAAAATTCAGTTATTTTTATTCATTATGAATTATGTTTTTCTTTTTGTTAAATGGTTGCTAGGTTACGCTTGAGTATGGTTATGGTAAGTAAATAAGGGATGCGAAAAACCGAAGAATTCCGTTTTGTTCGATGATGAATTTATCACAGATAGATTACGGTTTACTGATACAAAATTATTTTCAGATACATGATTTTGTATCTTAAAACCGAAATACGTCTGTGCTATATCATGAAAGTGAAATGATATTTGAGAAATGTACACTGAAAACGATTATAAAAATTATTACACTTAGTTATTAGTATGAATAATTATGGTACTTTAGAAATGTGATTGGATTGTTAAAAATATTTTTTTCATAATTTCTTTATCATAAATGTGAACTTACTTGATAAGTTATGACTGATAAGGTAATGACAGCGAATAGTACGCTTTGTATGAGATAGGACTTTTCATTTTTCAATATTTTTCGTTTTTCCTTCAATTCATATTTCTAAGGATCAAATATTTGAAGTACAAAATAGTAATTAATTTTGTTAAAAATAAAGAAACGTTTAAAATTGACCAACCAACTTTTTATGAAACAAATAGGTTGAAATGAATTATACATAGCTTATTTAATTACATATTTATGAACTATAAAATAACATACCATTGAGTCATTCAAAAGTGTGTAAATTGACGATTCCGCTTAGTGATCATTTCTCATAACATGTCCAGTTGTTAAGCAGTTATATATATATACATACTCTAAAGATGAATGAAGGATTAGTGATTACTGTAGTGATGACAAAGGATCCCGTAAATACATTCAAACTAACCATAAGAATTGCACTAAACACCAGGTGGAGGAAGCTTTAACAGCAGCTACTGTAATTCGCTTATGCAGTAATTACTGCAGATTTACATATTCAAATTATATTATTTATGAATGAGTAGAGTTATTCATTCCTAAAGCAACCAATTGTTATGTTAGAGAAGTGAGAGAAGAAATGTTGAATTATTCCAGATGTAAACTTTTATGATAAATTAAAATGAATTTTATATTATAGTTCATAATAATATGAATGATATAATTAAAGTAATTTAGAATGTTAGAAATGTATAAAAATTTAAAATAATTTGAATTAAATAAAAACATACGAGATTAAATTATTTTTAAAATGCAAAATTTTTTATTCACTAAACTAAATTTTTCATAATATTATGCGAAAAAGTGAAATTGTGTGATGTTTGTTTGTTTATTTATTTGTTTGTTTGTTTATTTGTTTGCTTGCTTATTACATGATCAACTTTTGTTTTTAGTTACTATTAAATTACCAAATTTCATTTATTTCACTTTTTTAATAATTTTAAATTTATGAACAAAATTTTAAAAAACCTAAAAAGAAATTATTTTTAATAAATAAAATTTATTTAATAATTTTAAATTTATGAATAATTTATGAAATTTTAATTCTACCAGATTTTAGACTATTTACTGCCATTAAAAGAGTTCCCAATTTCTTTCCAAATGTAAATGTATAGGAAAATCTTTCGAACCATTAATAACAAAGATATGTTATCGATGATCGATGCCCAGCAAGAGATTAGAAAATATTTCTTTTCAGCGGAATATCAAAGTGTCAATTCAATTTCCAACTGAGAATGAATATGTATAAAAAATATCGCTTTGATATAAGTAATAATTTTGTTTAGTCTTTCAATTGATCACACTTTGACATATCTTTGCTACAAATGAATTCTCTTTTTAATATGTTATAAATTCCAATTGTTAAAAAGTCAAAAATTGAATAGATTTTATTGAATTGTTAAATTGACTTTTGAACTTTTCAATTATATCCTTACATCTAAGTTAGTTATAATAATTTAATAGCAATTCAACGAACTTTTTGTAAATTTAAAATTTCAATTTTTCAACTAAACGTTATGTTCATTTTGTAGGAATGAAGGAAAATTTATATACTTGAAAATCAATTACTAAGAAGAGGAACTAATTAATTTGTAATAATATGGAATAAATTAGAGAAAAGATACTTTCGTTTTCAACAATAATAGAAATGTATGAGTTAAGAATGTTTACAGTCAAATTTAAATTTGAGCGACAAAAGAAGTAAACTTTGAGATTTGTATTACTTTTTCAATTTTTAAATTAGTGTAATCCAAAATATTCTGTTACCTTTTATTTATCATATTTGACAACAATATTTCTTTTCCTACTTTGTTTATGAATTTGAAATTAGCAAAAATGGTTTTAATTTATTTCAAAATGATTCATAAATAGGTTTAAAGAAAAGAAATTTTAAATCATATAATTATTTGATTTTTCGTCTAATTAAATGGCGGAAAAGTTTCCAGTTTCCAGAAAATCTTTACAGAAATTAGTTGTCCTTAATTAATTAACATAAAATCAGGTAAGATACACTTTCCTTAAAATTTGGCGTGTAATATAGTTAAGCAGATGAAGATAATTTGCATAGAAAACTGAATTAATCACTAAATATTTTTGTTCTATAGTTAGTTAACTCTTCTAATAAATAAAATTATTTATTAACATTCTATGGGATAGTTTTGTGACAATATTTCAACTTTGGGATTTTCACATATGCGTATATTTGTGTGAGTTTTGATGCTACTTTCAAATAATCAATAAAAGATTGATCAGTTAGGGATACGTTATATTAACTGATGTTCAATAAACTGATTATTATCAATTGTTAGTACTATTGTCCCCTAAGCAAAGATCTTAAATAATATTTAATGCAATAACCCGAAAATTCGAAGAATGTCGGTCGTTCAATAATTTCATTTTCTCTGTTAGTTTGACTTATAGGTCAAGGTTTATGAAGAGAGAGGAAGGAAGAGAGAGATCAAAAAGAAGGAAAATAAGTGCTAGTGATCAGTAATACATCAAATGACCTATTTTATTGTCTT